GTCTTGCGGCGCGGGCGCCGGTCACGCGCGGGGCGGCTGACCTGCCCGCGGCTCGGCGGTTGCGCAGAGCTGCCTCACGGGTATATAATAAGTCAAGGTGGGGCGGTTGGGCGGCGGCGGACCACCCACACCCTCCACCCGCTCGTGAGCAGACCCCAGCAGCCGCCGGCGCCCCGCTCGCCCCCACGCGTGGCGCGCGGCGCGCGCGGCTCGTGGCGTGCGCGGCGACTCACCGCACTGGGGGGTCGATCTCGTTCCCGAGGGTAATTTCCCGCTGTCCGCGTCGGTCCTCCTCGCCGCTGCCGCTGCTGGGGGCGCCGCCCGATGAGCCGGTGACGCGCTTCATGAGGGGGGTGACCACCAGGCTGGGGTGCGGGGATGATTGGGTGTTGTGAGGCAAGGAGTGGGTGGGATGAGTAGGGGAGTGCGTGTGTGTGTGTGTGTGCGCGTGTGTGTGTGTGTGTGTGTCTGTCTATTAGCGTGTGTGTGCATCAGTAATCACCAGTCGTTGGCAGCGCGATTGGGGTCCCAACTCGGCCGGGCAGCAGGGGCGCAGTGCTCGCGCATGCAGGGGCGGCGAGGCTGATTGAATCGGCGGCGCGCAAGCCGGCCGCAAGCCGGCAGAGCAGACGGCCGGGCCGCGACTGGCAAGGGGGCGGCTCCCGTCAAACTCATCTGGCGCAGCGGCACACAAGACGCGCGAGGCGCCGAGGCCGCACAGCCCAGCGGGCGCGCGGCCGGCGTGGTGCTCACATGTTGAACTGCACCAGCTTCTTGAGGGCCTGCGCCGCCGCCTTGCGGTCGCGCGCCATGTCCTTCATCGCCTGGGCCGCATACGCCTTGAGGCGCGCGCGCGCGACCTGCGAGGTTTGAGGCGGGACCCGACGCATCAGCACCGATCACACAGCGGGAAAAACGTCCACAGGAACCGCTTTACGAGAGAGAGACGTCGCAGGCCAACCACCCGCCGTCTGCCCCCAAAAAAGCGCCCGCCGCCGGTGGGGATCGAACGCGTGCTGCGGCCGCCGCGGCGCCCCGCACCTCCGCGAAGACTGCCTTGGCGACGTCCTGGCTCAGCCGCAGGTCCTTAGCGACGGCCTCGACGCGGTCGGCCTCCACGTCGGGCACGGGCTTGGCGCCGTTGAGGAAGACGTCAGACAGAGCCTCCTCAAGCACGCGGCCCGCGGTCGCACGCACGGCCTGCGGGGGGCGTTGGGTTCGGGTCCGCGGGTCAGGGCGCGGCGGGGGGATCGGCCGGAGGGTCGGCCAGAAGCTGCGGCCGCCGCTCGCGCGCGGGCTGGCAGGCGGTGGCCGGCAGTTGTAAAGCCAGCCCCAGCCAAAAAAACGCGCCCGACCAGCTTGGTGCGCGTGGGCGGACGCACGGCGGCGGGTCCGGCAAGTGGTCAGGCGCCGCCGCATGCGGGGGAAAGGGGGCCGGCTGCATTGATTGTTGAGTGTCTGCTGCGGGGGGCGCCCCACCTCATCAGCCGCGTCCTGGGGGATGCACAGCACGCGGCGGATGCGGGACAGATCCTCCTCGTCCTGGTCGGTCAGCTTCTTCTTGGCTACCACCTGCGTTGGCCGGGCGGTTGGTCGGCCAGATGGTTGGTTGGTCGGTTAGATAGTTCCAGGAGGTCGTGATGTGGGCGGTGGGACGGGGTGCGGTCGGAAACAATACGGCCCCTGATTATCGCTCAGTGTGGCGATGATGCCGACGGATGACTCAACACGACCGGAACCTCCGCCGCGTTTGCTGCACTGCTGATCCGCCGCCTGCGCGCGGCGCTGCGTCGGGGCCGCTCAGCCGCACCTCCACGCGACGCACTGCGCCGCGCCTCCCCGCGCGTCACCACGCCTCCTCGCGCATGCCCCCCCCCCAAACCATCCCCCCCCCCC